TCGTACGTTGGATATCGATTTCTTGAGCCGATCCACTGTGTTAGCATCTTGTTGACAACTTATCGGGTTTTTTTTTTTCTCGATTGGGTCGGTAGCATTTTTCGTTCGACTATTGTCGATTTTTTCTTGTGACTTTATTTTTCTGGTAAAGAGTTGTAGAAAGGGACTTAAGACTCATCAGTTTTGATAGTTTGAAGTGGATCACATGTTGTATGTGCACTGTTTTTGTTTCATTGTCAGGTTTTACTTAGAAATCTGAAAAGAAAGAAATGAAGAATAGTTATGTACTAGTGTAAGATTTGTGTTTTTTGTCTTGTGATAATTAATTAGAAGACAAGACTTGAATTGTAGGATGAAGTACATCAGTTTTGCTATGGATCGGATGGCTCGACTTTTGAAGTCATTCACACTTATTCACCAATAATGTATTGACATGTGTCCTACAATCAATACAATTTAGACAGGTGTCAATATATTAAGTGGTGGATGGCTCCATAAAAAAACCGTCCGATTGATCCACAGAATTTTTGTGAAATACGTATGTGAGACAATAGTTGAAATAGAGACTACAAACATAATTTACATACTTGAAAAGAAATATTATACATGAGAAAATATGTGGAAAAACATTTATAACTCCTTTAGAAATATATGAAAATAATTTTATGCATGACTTCCTCATGTGAATTTTAATTTTTAAAATTAATTTAATTAAGCAAATTCGTTGCTCATTAAATAAATCAGCAAAATTCAAAACACTAATAAAAGCAAACAACATAAATGGCAAATAAGTAAGTAATCATGGAGAAGTTGGCGGTAGAGTACAGTAGGTTGTGTAATGTATTATAAAGATTTTTCATATCTTCCAAATTAATGAAGTCCCCCATCACCATGTGCATGATTTTAAAACTTGGTCCAAAATAGGCAAAAAAAACAGCAAATTGTAGAAAATACTCTAATTCATGATATAGCTCTAGTAAATCGTAAATACTATACTTCTGAACAAGTTGAGTCGAGCTCAGATTCGAGCTCTTATCGAGTCGAGTTGTTCAACTAATTTAACGAGCACATAAACGAGCTAGAGTCTTAACGAGCCGATATATGATATATATTCAATAAGTTACATAAAAACTTCTATTTATCAAGCCTAACGAGCTCAGGTCGGCTCGTCTGAACAACAGAACTCACGAGCGGCTCGCTTTATTTATTTATGAGCTACAACAATAAATAATATAGTGATTGATTAGAAACCCAAGAAAATAAACTCATATTATTAGCAATAAAAACAAGTTAATGTTAGACGGTTGAGTCCCGTCCCAATCCCATTTTTTCTCTTTTCAGAAAACAGCTCATCACTTCCTTAATTGTAACATTTAATTATGTATGATTAATTTATTGCACCGTAAATATAGTTAAAAAAATTATATATATACACAATATTTTTTTTTTCCCAGTTTCCTCAATTGGTATTGCTTTCAGGGCTTTTTCTCAGACCTTTTTTTTTTTTTTTTTTT